AAATTGAAAATAATCAGCTTTTCCTATCAATTGCGAATGAAATACACGTGACTCTTAAAGCTGCACACCTCCAGATGAGCAAAAATATTCCTAAGAAAAATGTTATAAAATTTTAGAAAAAGTATAAAGATTCAAAATTCTATTAATGATTTACATGCTATGTGCGATTAATGACCGATTTTTCAGTATTTATAACTATATTTCTACTGCGTTACTAACGCAGTAAGGGCTATTTTTGCATATTTTGACCTCTTTATGGTAATTAACATGGGTTGTAAGTGCCATTGATAATGTGTAAATTGCAATCCTTTGATAACTTCACAATATTATACTGTTAAATACATTTTCAAATTTTCATGAAAATTAACATGAATCTGCTGTAAAAGCATGAAACTATAAAAAGTGCATTGATCTACTTGGGCACATTTTCCATAAGTATTTGAAATATTGATAAAAACGATAGAAATGTATCATTTAGATATTCTTATAAAATATTGCTTGAAAAAAGTGTTGATTGAGTTCGAAGTGATTTAATATGAACATTTATTATGATGGATATAAAGTAGGATATTTCCTTGTTTCAATATATTAGCATTAAGAGGTGCATGTGAAGAAAAAATATCTCCGTTTATAAAGATGTCTGGCGTATAGACAGTTTTGACAAAATTTTCTAAGATCCAGTGATATTCTTCATTTTCTTTCTTTTTCATTGTTCTTCAAGGCGATTTAGAACATATTGGTGTTCCAATGGTATAAGAAGTATTTAACATGAACAGACTCAATCAAACTGTGTCTGCAATTTTCAATACAAGCTTGTAATTTCATTACAAAGGTTACGAGGGATCTCCCTTTTTTCATATTTTTTTTAATTACCTTTAACTCCTCCAGAATTGGTTTTGGTAATATCGAACATGGCACAATTTGGGAGGCACATGTACACAAACAACTGCACTTGCATTTTTGGATGTAAATATATTTTAAATCCCGGCTTTGAAGACAAAATAACGGTCAGTTGAAAAAACATAACAGTCTTGCTGGCTTAACGTTCAAGGATGTAGCGATTAACAGAGTGACGGATTAACTTGGTTTTATTTGAATGTACATTTAATATATAGATTCAGAAAAACAAACTAAGAAATTTCAAAATAAAGGTCAAGTATTGGTCGAGATGGTTTTCCACCATATAAATCATAACTTCTGTCTAGGTAGGTCACTAAAGTAAGAGTTTGGGACCGAACCTGTCCTTCACGTGCTTGTCTCAGTCAAATGTCCACGTGTTTTAATTACTGCCAATATGACCTTCAAACTTCATCTGTAGACTGCAACAAATCCGAGATATTTCTTTTAAAACATATTTCACGCTTTTCTTATGTTGCAATTCATTATTGTTATTTATGCACTTATTTCATTAATATTTCTATAATTGATTTTTGTAAATGATATTAACTAGTTTAACTTTCTCATCGTAAGGATGCACGGTTAGGACTTTAAGCTCAAAAATCAACAAACTGACTCTGTTAATGGCGTGAACATTAACATGTTTGTATGTTTTAAAAGAATAAGGTGCTAAACAAACACTCGAAAGGATATTCATGTCAGTCAGCCAACAGGTAAATATTTGGGTGTACAATGCCACCATCCTAATCAAATATTAGAAATATAAAAGGTGTTTAATAACCCGATTAAGTAACGTCCTTTCTTGTGTGTGAACGATGATAGATATTCAAATATTCCAAAAAAGTTAGGTTGGGGAAAATATTATTTGTGTCAAGTTTTTTAAAGCAAAGAAATGTCCCCAATTTTCATAATTTTTCTGAGGAAAAGACTTCTTATTTTTGATCAAAAAAATCAAAGATTATTTATTTGCCCTTTCTTGTCTGTCTTTAAAGATAAACTAGCTGAAAGATCGAGCATTTAAGCGAAGTTTTTTCTCTGTTCTTACTTCATCCATTAAGATTATAATATAATTATCTCGCAAGAATCAGTGCCAGACATTCTTTATCCTTTTGTTAATTTCAAATGTATATTCTTTTTATTGCGATGAAAAAAACTGATTGCAATTCGTCCGTTAGTGAAGATGTTTTCTTTTCCTACTATTTCTAAATAAATGCAAAACAAATACAAGGCATGTATCAGTTATATTTGAAAATGGGCCACAAGAAATCTGTTGTTACAATTCATGCTTTATTCTTTAACAATTTAGAGCACTCGGGTAAAATTGACTGAAGGGTGCTCCTCGTCGAACACTGTAAACATTGTTCAAGGGACAACAAGATATCCTTTGGCTAAAAGCGCTAGACCACACATAAAGAAAATGTATTACACCAAATTGACATTTGAACTATTTTTTTCTTCTTGTGAAATTTTCAAAACAGTTGAACCACTTTTTTTCCTTCGGCCACAGTGACGGATAATTATACTAGAAATGAGATTTATGGAAGTGACTTGTTAACTAAAACTACGTCTTTCTGGACATGTTTATTTCCCATTTCAAACGTTTACCACTATCCGTAGCCCATAACATTTCAATTTTCAGTTTCAATAGCAGCACATGTTAATACCCGTGCCCCCGTTCCATGATTTACGGAAATGAATAACCGCTGGTCGTTCAAGAGTTATTAATTTCAATTATGTATTGTATAGAAACCTGTTGAACATTAGGGCAGTGACTAGTTACGGTGTACCTTTAATAAAAGCTCGACGGGGGACAAATAGCCCCTAATTTCTTTTACAATGTAAAAAGTTCAGGGGAAAGCTGGATTTCATTAGACTGACACTTTTCGCAGATGTCATATCCACCATTTCATCACATTTTACAGCTCCCAAACATTTAATATAGTAAGTAAACAATGCAAAGCTAACCCCCTACCAATGTTACATTTTTTCCATTTCCTTTCATTTTCCTGGATATTAACAAATAATGTATCTAGTTTGAAAGAAGGTTAACACAATTATGCGGTTATCATATATTTAACGACATTAAAAAATGACAGAAGAAGTTTGACTTGGTTGTCAGATATTTTAATTTCTTCATTGTACCCAGTTCAAAGCAGACAATAGAACGATTGAAAAACACGAAAAGCAATACGTTGATAATGATGGTATTAATATTCATACATAACCTTATAACCTTGGCATGAAAATGTTTGGAAGAAAAAATTAAAAAGGGAGAAAGGAATCTATTCATATAAAGGCAGATTAAAAATATTATGTAACAATCTCTACTCAAAAGGTTAGATTTTCATATTATCATGATGAACATTTCGCCTATTCGGATTACTTTCGGCTTTCGTGTCAAATTGAATTTTAGAGCGTTGATATAAAAAATGACACCATCATTTATCAACACTTTACTAATTAATAGCAAGGTTAAACTTCAGTGTAATATTTTTCGCCGACTTTCATTAATCCTCAACAAATTATATTGTACGCAACCCGTCTCATCTGTTGAAGGTGCCAATCTAATTCGGGTATAATTAATTCAAAAAATTTTCATTTGAAATTGTATCGCAATATTTCGATAAGATCGCTCCATAATCGATCACGCTTTGATTACAGAAAATTACACTTCACATCGTAATTACTATTTCACCAAACGCTGATGCATAGCACGCGACCATGATTTATATCATTTTAAATTTCCAGCTTTATCAACTGTTGCGTTTCATTATAATGTAAATAGTTAATAGACCTTTTAAAATTAAGAAATTATGCAGCTCAACGTATATTTCAACTTCTGCACGCTATTTAAATGTTTAGCAAGGGAGTCGGATATAATGAGCCCATTGCCATTAAAAATGGTTTTAAAGCAGCACACTTCCAGATTCATGCTGATTTTAATGAAAATTTGAAAATGTATTTAACAGTATAATATTGTAAAGATACCAAAAGAATGCAATTTACACATTATCAATGGCACTTACAACCTATGTAAATTACTATAAAGAGGTCAAATATGCAAAAACAGCCCTTACTGCGTTAGTAACGCAGTAGAAATATAGTTATACATACTGAAAAATTCGGTCATTAATCGCATAAAACATGTAAATTTTTACTAGAATTTTGAATCTTTATACGTTTCCTAAAATCTTAGTACATTTCTCAGGTTTGATTTTATCGAAATATTTTTACTCATCTGGAAGCGTGCAGCTTTAAAAGTTTTGAACAGTCACGCAGATTAGTGTGCGCTATTTTCAACCATTTCAAATGATTATGCCGAAATTTCAAAAAGGTTGTAAAAATGGTAACGAAATTTTTAAGAGACATGTTTTTATTCATTTAATATGATACAGTGATTGAAAATGACCACCCGTGTGACTTTTGAAGATTTTTATTAAATGAAATACCATCAATCTTGGATATTTATCTTTATAGAAAATATGTCCCCTGTCTCTGCTATTAGTCTGAGATCTGTTCATTTATTGAATCTCAGAGAAAAAAGAGAGATAGCGGTTGTCCGTTTTCTTTGTTAAATAATAAGATCATATTTATTTTAGATTTTAATTAGATTTAAATACTTTTTCATTAAGTCTCACAAAAACTTAAATAAACAAAGTATGAAAAACGTACAAATATCTGCCGGCCGCTATTATGAAAAGCAGTTTTAGGGGTCATTCAAAATTTTGAATACTTGTTGCTGTTTCTATTGATGTTAACGGTTTTCTCACAGGATTCATTCAGTAATGTAGGAAAACCCTTAAACCTAAACGAGGCTGACTAAAGGTATTTCTAAAAATCTCGATTTCCGTTTTACCGTTCTTAAGACATTCTTATGTAACGGTAATATGCCAGTCAAATTAGTTTAATGTTATGTTATGTTGTGATTGGGTATTGATCGAAAATAGTGTTAATATATCGATAGTATGTCAAATAACAGTTATTGGTTTATTTATTTGTCTCCCCGTAAGCGCCTCCGGCTAATATCAACAAGCATAACAAAGCGATGGAATTTGAATGGCTGAGCGATTTCTCGCGCATGCGCACATCGGCTATCATGCTGAAAGGCGCTTGATATGAAAATTCATCTGTACCACATCAAAACATCATTTGAGGTTTAACATGACAGCTCGTTCAGTTTGTGAATATAAACATTCTTACGTACGGACAGTATGCCTAGAACATTTTTAGTGAAACGGACTGGTGAGATAGTTCAATCTAGTGAAATTGACAGTGATATAGATTTATCAAAATCAGCTGTTTACGAGATTTGTGTTGACAGGGATTTAACGGAACCAGCCCGTGGTAAGTGTAACAATTTAGTGATTTTCATGAGTGCACGGGTTTTCCGGAATGCACGGATTATTCATGCTCTGTTAATTTACAATGTTAAAATTAGCAGCCAGGCATAGAAGGCCAACATTCCTTGCTTGTATGATACAGAAAAGAGTATTTTCCATGAGATAAATGTGGTAATATTTTATTATCTTATAATAATTGTTAATGGTGAAAGCTGTTCATGTTTTATTATACGTTTATAGTTTTAATAGACACAACTGCTGTTGTTTTCCCAGATCTGGTTTCAAAATTTCGGACTCAACCTAGGCAACAGCTGGCATGTTGAAATGGTATATGTATACCCTCTTTATTACAAGATAAAGTAACTGAAGTTATAAATACCAAGTACTTAAACAAGCTGGCGAAGAGGACAGAAAATGTACATGCATATATCTGCTTTACACGGGGTGTCTATCAAATTTTATACTACTTAATAGTAGTTAAATATCTTTGCAGAAGGGTTACGTAAAAAGTTTATTCCCCCACTTGTTGCTTTAAAGATTTCGTCAGTATCTTAAAAATTATTTGCTAAGTCAACATTTGTTTTTGTGTAAAAAGCTACCCATACTTCTTTTTGACAGGGTTTGTCTAGCCTTTGTGTGTAATGTTCTTTTCCCTTTTATATGACCTCTTAATACATTCGCCTCACTTTGCACATTTTATCTTTAAAGAGATTTTATTTGCTCTCTGCCTATCAGAAATGCACTTGTCTGTAGAATATCTCGCAGCAGGTGTAGTCATAGCAACTGACAACGAATTAAACTTGTAAAAAGATCGACTATATTCAACAGGCTTCCTGCCACCTGTCGTATAAATACTTTAAAATCCGTTTAGAGCATTTTAAGAAACTTGATTCGGACTATTTTTGCAAATCGGTACCAGATAATACTATTGAAATAAAGGTTGTAAAACCCCCGTTTCAATGAATGCATTAAGATACCCGATATTCGGCCCCTAAACCCCCTATTGATGTTTAATACTTTTGTCCCGTAAGCCATAATATCATTTTATCTTTTCAGCCGGTTCGAACAACAATGGTTTTTAATCAAAGTCTATATTTATTTGACACTAGATAGAAAGAGTTTATTTGTAATGTAGAGTGACGGGGGAATGAAAATTGTTGCTTATTTCTTTTCCACGCTCTGTCGTCTGCTTTTGTTCACACACATTTATAGTACTTTTTTCCCAATTTTCCTCCGTGTTTAACTTTCGATTACATCCTCTAATGACTGGTTTCTATTTCGTTTAAAAGTTTAAAAACGTAATGTCAAAATTAAATGGAAAAATTGAAAACTGAAATTTGAAAACACCTGTAAGTGTATATAACATGGGTGGAGATCAGTAACTAATGGTTTTGTGAAAGCTCGGTTTTTTGTGAAGTTATTTACAACTATGTACATATTGACATTCCAGTATTGATATGTTTAACTGTCTAACTTCTATTATTTATATATCTATGTTAACTAAGATGTAAACAAGGTTATGATTGACAGGGTTGACAAGGGAGTTAGTTTGTGTATGTTTATGCATTACACATTTGACACGATAACTTATAACTTCATCACAAGAATTTTCTCATTGCATAAAACTATGCACTGCATAAATAAAATGTCACCGTAAGAAAAATATTTGTTTTATTTGTAAACAAAAATCTCTACGCGGCATGGTTTTTATTCTGCATCAAAAGAAGTATATAGCGATTATGCATAGTAGTTAATGCCAGATAATATCAAATTATTTCATATCTGTAATAGTGGTATTTTATAAAATAACAGAACTCGAAATATTTGCGCACCATTAAAAATATTTATGCCATGCGAGAATGGCATTTGGCAGTATTTGACGAACGCAGTTTGACGTCTGCATTTACCGTTTTACGTAATTGAAAAATATTGATACGTTAATTAACATGTTAGATAAGTCACCCTGACATTCACTTATGAACTGTGTAAATATGCTACAGGCTACGGATCCCTTCCATATTTCATAATTCACTAGGGATATTTTCCATCTTACCATGTTTTATCAATTAATGAACCGTTGGTCTGGCTCGTAGCGTTCACTTGTAACGCTGCGGGTAGTCGTGTTTTTCGACATGCAACGTGCAATCGCTCTCTGAGCCACCTAATGTATTCATGCGCGTAACTTAAACCCATTAATCAGTCGCAGACATCTTGTCCAAGTAACATATCTCGAAATAAAGGAACGCTGAGGAGGGGGTAACTGGGGAATAAAATTAGTTACAGTTTGTGAAACAATGCAAAAATGGGGGTTTTATACTGAAATTTTATATACGTAGAAGGGTCATAAATGTGTCATTTGTATTGTGGAGCTTTTTATATTCGATTAATAGTAGATAATCCAATTACAACTGGTTATCTGGTCTAATGGACGCTGGCTACTTTGAATACAGCCTTTAAAAGATATTCATTTCGTCGATTGGGATATAAATTCGTTTGAAGATGAAACTTTAAAAAAATGTGTCACAAAGTTTTATTATCCTATAAGACATGACATTGTGCGGAAGTATACTTGTTTAACGAACATATCTGAAAACCTGTCTCAAGGAATGCCTATAGAAATATTTCATTTAATATTTAAAAATTAATCTATGAACATTTTGCAGACGATAATATTTTATTTGGACCGTTCAGTTAACCGTTGTGATACTTGACTTCCGGTGCTTGTGGCAAATGAATTAGAAAACAAGTGATTATCATAAATATGCGACGTAAGACAGTTTAATCCCAGCTTTAATCCGACACCTGCTGCATAAGTTACAATCCGTTCGTCTGATAATTCATTACACGCAGGTAACATCTGACGGCTAGCGCGTGACCTGCACGTGCTCTTCTGGATACTGCAGCTGTTGTCATTGCTTACATTTTCACTCACCTAAATAAATAAAAAGTCAGACTTCTAATGCCATCGAACACTGTAGAACAGTAAACAAAAAATGTGCATTTACACAAAAGATAATGAGAATTCAATCGCGTTTATCAAAAGTTTTAAATTGTTTCGTCTGCATGCTCATTTTGTTGGTTAAATACCCCCGAAAATTGACTTTAATGACTCTTTTAAGTGCTTGGTCAATATTCTTAACTACACAAGCGATCTTTATGTTCTCATAATTTCTCCCTAAATTGACAAATATTACGTCTAATTTATTACCATAATTAACTGGTACTTTCTTGGTATGTAGTTCCCCCGTGCCTCTCTACGCGTGATTTGATTGGCTAACAAGCTCCGGGTATCTTTTGCCTGTTGAATGTATTTGCATACAAGGTGACTATTTGCCAAACACCTGTAGGTTTAAAAAAAGAAAGCAAATTTATTTTAAAGACAAATTTCTTTGACACATTTAGAAAGTTTCAAATTTTATCTCTATTTTAAATCGTTAGGCCGGCGCAAACAGGTTTATTTGGTTTCATTCTGAGGCGCTTATTGAATAAAAGAATATTAACCCTATGTATCGAATAATAATCATTTACATATTAATGTAATATTGAAAACAAATTTTGCCCGTTTGACAAATATACCTTCTTATTAAATATTCCTGGACCGTGGTGTTACTTATAAGCATTCGGTTAGATCAGGGAAGATTAAATCGAGTTTCCCTACAAATATTGAACTTTCGGCACTTACAGAAACTTGTAATCATAATGCGTTCATTTTCGATGTATCTTCATTTGTTTTACGTGTAAGTGTTAGAAAACAATAAGAGACATTCTAGTTCTACAAAAATGTTGCAAAATTTCTAAATCACATGTTAATAGATGTAGGCCTTGCTATTGTTAGTATGTGGCTTAAGGGAGGAATGGTCACACTAAAATTCCAGTCTTTCATTTTCGGCCTTCATTAAACACAAAAAACAACAAACAACAAAAACAAAAAAAAAACGCGTAAAACTGTGCGAAGAACCCAACGATTTTAAGGACTGTTTTATATGCATTCAACATGTATTACAAACATATCATGGGCAATTAACCATATTAAACCATACTAAACCATTTTAAACATATTTAACATTTGACATCTGCTCCATTAATGGTCTCCTAAGCAAGGCTGTAAGCAGACGACCGGCCAGATTTCAGCAGACGACTTTTACTGTTTCAGTTTTTATGTAGCCATGAAAGTAGAGGTAATAATCAGCCATTTCACGACACTATCTGTATGTAATGAGGCAAGAAAAAACTTCTGGCATTTATTGGTGTTTAAAAAGATGACAGCAAGCTTCTCTGTATGTTAAAAAAAACTTCTGGTGTCACGTGATTGTAATTTTATAAGCAACCCCGGGTAACGCTGTTGCGTATTTCTAGAATAATACAAATGTACAATTATTAATGCATTTAGTAACCATTTACCTTAGTTCAAATGAAAAACCTGAAAGCTAGCGTTATGAATCGGGTGAAAAATACATTATTACTAGTAACGATGATTAACTAAAAGATTGACGAGTCCGCGCAACCCACACAAACAAAAATTCAAATATTAGATCAAGTTAAAATGTAATACTATATTATATCAAACACATTAATGTAACATATTAAAAAGTGACAGTTGAAAATTTAATTTCAATTGAACACGTGTCGTGCACTGACATACGCTGATCAGGAATGCAATTTGCAATTCGATGGAAAAAAAAGGATTTGAAATTAGTTTTACGGGGTGTGCATGTTTTTTTTTTACTCACATTTTGTGATTGTAATTCATTATTTTGACTTTGAGGTATTTATGTATCATATATATATGATCAAGAACATAAAAAATATGGTTACAATAAAATGTTAACCATTCGGTGGACCGGAAATGGTGACCGCATAAAATGACCGTTATTTTAAATATGGTTAACCGTAAGAATGATCAAATCTCCCATATAAAGTATCTTATCTGATAGTAAAACACTTGAATCTTATCATAACACTCTTTAAATCCCCGACAATATTAAAATAGTGCTATCAAAATCT